AAATCAGCCTGAGGGGGTAATATATAATAAATACATAAAGATAAAGTCCATTGTTATAATGGGGTATTTTATTTGTAAATTATCCTTATTACCCTTATGAACTCCATCATGTCTGAGGTCGGAAAGTAAACAAACGCCTCATACAGCGGGTGGGCTTTATACCCCCTCCCCCGTGTAGTTCTTCTTCTCTCGTTTTTTTTTTGTACTCGCCGTGAAGTGGTTTTGCGGCCTGCCATTAAACCCAGAGAAGAAGAAGACGAAGTGACGTCAGCGTAATCTTGCCTCAGGGAAAGTACTGCGGTGTGAATGCGATTGGCACTAGCCCCCTGGCGGATTCAGTGCCGTGGTACTTTAGTGCCGGCACTAAAGTACGGCAAGTCCTGCGGTGTGAAAGCGGCTATTGAAAGAGGAGAAGAGAGAGAGGATGTGGTTCTGGGCCCTGGCCCTTCTAAAAAGAAAAGACTTGTGTCTTACAACAAACAGTGGAAGAAAAACACAGTTGGGTAAAGCCTGAGTGGAGATCTGTCTCCGGTCTTCTGCGTGTGTGTGTGTGTGTGTGTGTGTGTGTGTGTGTGTGTGTGTGTGTGTGTGTGTGTGTGTGTGTGTGTGTGTGTGTGTGTGTGTGTGTGTGTGTGTGTGTGTGTGTGTGTGTGTGTGTGTGTGTGTGTGTGTGTGAGAGTCAGTCAGCTGATTGATGGGAAAATGGTTGGTTGAAGGATAACATTAAGTCTAATAATGATATACCGTGCATGTTCACATCATGTATACTTTGCATTACTTAATACCATTTTTCAAATATTTATTTTTCAACATTTTGGACAAAATAGCCAATTGTACATCGAGGTGCCCAGATGTCCCTAGTGCCCACCTATCCGATTTGAACATGCTGATGTACAATGTGATGTAGTAGCCTAATGCAGGTGTAAGATCATTGTGTTTGTATTGTGTTATAGGTATGCATAGTTTTCTATGCATTTTGGGGGATTTGACCCCTCGAACCCTAGGGGGCTGGCTCCCCCAAAAGAATTAAATAACATAACCCTAACCCTAAAACTGAAATAAAGTAACAAAGAAAAGTAACTAAATCCGCCAGAAACCCGAAAATCTTCGCGCGCGCGCGGGGGAAACATGCATATGTCCCGTTTCTCCATTTCTGGAAGTTGGCAACCCTACCTACAATATATATTTCAAATAAAGCATAATAGGTTCCCTTTAAGCATTTGAGACTGAGGACTAAGTACAAAGACTTTAAATCAATGGCATTAGAAATACTTGTATACATATCAAGCGGCAAACTCTGGGGAAGAGCCGGGACGCCAATACGGAAGTGCCACACACTGCAGTTCATCTAGTGGCCAGTAGGAGCAGGCTGCAGAAGGGAGCAATTTCCATAGACCCCCATGTTAAAATGCCCAACTTTACAGCAGAAATAAACATGTTTACATCGTGGTTCAAAAAACCATATTCTCTGTATAGTTAGATTCCCCCTTCATGACTACTGTGTGGGGGGTGCATTTTTTCTCAACTCATCTGTTTAATTAATATTAAGCCTTAAAGCTTTTGCATAAATTAGGGCGTGGTCACTTTGATGGACATGTACATGCCTCACTGTCAGCTAACAGCAACTTGTCCACTCTGCTAGGCTACAACCATAGAGGCTACAACGTTAGTTAGTTGTAGTTACTGTACTTGACCCTTTAGCCGTGTTCGTGTCGATTGTGCCTTTTAGGGAATATTGTTACAAATACCAGACAATTAAAATGTTGTGCTGTGCGCTTGAATGTACTAACAGAACTTCCAAGAAGTCTAAAATTATAATATTATACATGTTAACCCCGTTCGCAGGTGTTTGTGTGCTTGGTAGCTTAGCTTGCTACTTATTAGCCAGCTAAGGACGTAACCCTTTATATATACATATACATTTTAGTTTATGATTCAGCCTTGGGTAAGACTTTTATAGTCTATGGCTATGACGCCCATAATGCTAAACGGGAGCAAATGTTAATAGGGGACCCAATTCAATTATCCCAGTGGTGGTTGCCGGAGCTAACGGAGCCGCAGGGGGCTAGCACCAGCCGGCGTCCCGGAGCTAGCCCACTGCGGCTCCGTTAGGTCGGGCGGTGGAGTCCGTCTTTTCTCAACGTGTGAATGACAAGCATTAAGAATAACAAAATATAGCTAATTCTCTTGCAGATTGTCTCATTTGATTATGAATGTAACGTTTATATAACTTGGTATGCATGTATTTCATGTTAGCTTAGCTTCTTAGCCTGAGCTAGCTCTGTTTACTTCCAGTTCGGAGGCAGCAGGTCCTGCCTCGGAGGCAGCAGGTCCCGCCTCGGCTCCGCCTCTTTGCCCTTATTTGGAGCAGGCGGGATTAGACTCTGACGTTACAGTCGAGCCGTTAGTGGCCGACTCCGCCTACTAAGGGCTTCACGGCAACTCTGCAGAATCCTATGGGTGACGTCACGGACACTACGTCCATTTATATAACAACAATACATATATGTATTGTTGTGATATTAGGGTCATGCAGAGGCAGATCACTATCCCTTTAAGAGAGCGAGAGAGAGGGGTGTGGTGTGTGTGTGTGTGTGTGTGCATGGTAGAGCGAGAGTGAGCGAGCGTGTGTATGTTTTTGAAGTGAAACGAAGCAGCAGAAAAATAGGTCTGTCAAGTGTTTCTTTAACAAGAAGGTCAAATGATGACAGTCAGGAGGTGTAGCTGCCTTTATATGCGCGCGCATTCAGGTAGGCTCGCCCTGATTGACCGGCTACGTTTATACAACTTCAGTGTGTGAACCATGTGTGAACGCTCGCGTATCATTGATGAGAGTAGTAGGCCTACCAATAGAGTGGTGAAGTCACGCCCATCTACTTCCGCCCCATGGGACCTTATTTCTGAAAGATTAGGCTTGTTTGAGACAAGCGAGACCTGCGCAGTTGTGATCAACGTCTTGCTAGTGCGTTGCATGATGGTTAGTCATTTTGTCCGACTTGCTCTGGAGGCTCGCCTACATGAGACGTTGAAATCTCGCGGGACAAAGACGCCCGCAGCCTTGAGAGCGAGGCGTGGCGAGGCGGCGCAGTTGCTCTCCACGGGCTGCGGAAGCGAAATGCTTGATGGGAAACGACTCGCTGGTTTCTTGAGCTGAGCGCTCATTGGTGGGTTTTACCCCGTGCTGCTGATGAAACTCTCCAATTGGCTGGGCAAAAGTTTGTTGTTGTTTTGTGTCAGTTTTACGTCGCCACATCCATTCCCATTTTTCATCATTGTTCCACAATGTTTATCATCATGACATTAATATCTATATATTTTATACTATACTTGCACTGCTTACCGTTTTAATACTTTATATATCTTAGCATATTCATACACACTGTTCATACTGCTCACAGGCTGATATCTAGTGTATTCATACTCTTCACTGTTTATTCATCATTCAATTCATTCTATATTTTATTCTGTAGATGTTGTACATTACTTTTCACTTCACTGCTTGTTGCACCTGGTTAGAAGCTAAAGTGCATTTCGTTGTCTCAGTACCTGTAATATGTGCAATAACAATAAAGTTGAATCTAATCTTGAGCAGGAACAAATGTATTTACTTAGTACATCTGACATTAACGATTAAACACATGTGTGCATTCTTTATAAATGCAAACCGAGTCAAGCCGACTCCGGAGGTGTCGGTATACACCTTCAAGCTGTTTGCAATCCGCCAAAAAACCGAGAGAAGAAGAAGACGAAGCCGACTCCGAGCTGTCCGACTTCAGGCGAGCTTTTTGAGACCTCCCCCGGCTGCGATCGGCTATTCTCGTCTACTTTCGAGGCGAGCCGCAACGCGTCTCAAACAAGCCTAGTATCTATTGAAGTCAATGGAGAGAGAAAACGTATCTTTCGATCCCGTTTGAATTGTGCCATGAATTACACATATGATGTTTGTCAATCTTAAAAAATCATTTCCATGTCAAAAAAGTCACAGTTTGTCTTAAAACTGTTGAAATATAAGACTATGAAAAATACGCAACTAGAAAGACTACAAATCCCAGAGTCACGTACATTAACGTTACACATTACACTTGTGTTACTCACCGAAACCTTGTAAAGCCAGTCCGCATGCTGGCTCTTACGTAACCGACTAACTCCCGTTTTGTGTATACAGTTCTCAACATGGCCAGACTTGTAGTGATTTTCACCTCTTTTAATACTTTTCACTTCATTCTGAAAGAAAGAGGTGAAATGTGCTAACGTGACGGCCATCTTGGTGTTGGTGACGTATGCAAGACCAGAGTTGTAGTTCATTGAGCGCTTCACACAAACAAATGTGTTACTTCACAGTTTTACGACACATTTTTATTTTTTTGACTTGCAAAATAAAAAATGTAATTGACAAACATCATATGTGTAATGGTGAAGCCTGTGTGAGATAGAACCCTTGGTTTTCCAATTCCTGTGCCTTCGTTCCCTCCATTAGCTGTGGAACAGCCGCAGGTCTTTTCTGTGTTAGAGTTTTACTCCCTACAGAGTGTACTTTGAGGGTTTGTGACTCTGCAGACCGTTTACATGCAGAAAAACCTACATAACACACAAGGGGACGGCTGATAACCAGAAAAGCATATGATGGGACCTTTAAAATGAAGAAGAATGAAAGTAGCCTAAATATAAACTTTAAAGAAAATTCATTCAGAATGTCTACCTATAAAATATACATTTCAAAATGTATAGTAACACTGTCATCCTGCTAGTAATCTCACATTTGTTAAATGTATCAGTAATCTGATTACTTTTTAATGTCTTTGTAATCGAATACAGTTACGTTTTTTTGTAACCTGATTACGTAATCTCGTTACATGTAATCTGGTACTACCTAAACCTGCTACTACAACTGTTCCTATATCTCTTTTGGAACCTTCTAGTGATGCTTTCCTGTGACTGTATGATAGTATGTATTATTATGACTGAGCGTTGTCTTGTCCCCTGTGTCTCCCTGCTCTCAGACTCGGAGTACTCCCGCACCCTGCTGCAGGCCTGGGTCCCCCTGCTGCCAGCCTGGAGGTGCAAGAAGACCTACGGGGAACGCTTCACCAGCCGCATGCTGTGTGCAGGGAGCCTGTCGGAGCACCACCGGGTGGACAGTTGCCAGGGTGACAGTGGGGGTCCGCTGGTTTGCCAGGGGGAGGGGGGCCACTGGGTTCTCACAGGAGTTATCTCCTGGGGTCATGGCTGTGGTAACCCTTCCTTCCCTGGGGTGTACACACGTGTTAGCAGGTTTCTGCGATGGATTGACAAGGTCATAAACAAACCCTACAACACCTGATGGAGGACATGCTTTTACAGCTGGGTATGTGTGGTTGGATGAGGTCACTGAGGTATTGATTGATTGAAAATTGTATTAACAGATTGCAGAATGGGTACAATACAGTACAGCTCAATCCACACAATTGTTAAGGGGATGCAGACCAGAGAAAGACTTTTGTCTTGTTTACATCAGGGTCCCCCATTTTAATTCATCATAACATATATGACATACATGACACACACTGAGCCCACCTCTTCACAACTCTTACACAGCTTTCTGTACAAACATGCAGCAGCAGTAACCTCACACTATGCACTGAGGCCACCAGAACACGTAGAACCCGACCCAGGATCCCCCCTGGGACCAGAACACTGACCACATTTATCCCAACAGAAACACACACAATGACCTTAAACAACACTAAGAACCTGCAGCAACAACACCTAGATCACTTTTGTGTAAAATGATCATTTATTCATTTATTTAGAGTCCAGGTTCCACAACAACAAGAGGACTCTTCTTTACTGCACGACCTGTGCGCATCAGAAATTAATCAGAATGCTCAATGCGCTTCAAGGCACTTTGTGTTACCATTTTTGTTTCGTGGTTTACTGTAATTTAATCCAGGTGTAAAAATTGAGATAAAAGTATGGAATTGCAAACTAAACATATTTACTATACATATTTTTGAGCCTTCTCACCCACACCAATGTGCTCACCATCAGCACAACTTCATGCCTGATCCTTTTGGTGCTCTGCTGCAGAGACGTCCAGACAAGCAGCAGAACCGCAGAGAACAGAACTCTGTGGGGCTGTGGAGGGAAACCAGTCTGTTACCTCATTCACACCAACGCAACTCCGGTTCAAGCTCCGTGCTAGAGCTTTTCAGGTTCAGAACCGGTTCTTCGGTTTAGCTCCGGCACTTTTCACACCGCCCAGAGTCCGACTGATGCTGCATCATTGCGTCATCGTTTGCGTCATGACGTAACCGTTTGCGTGCCTGCTTCATAAAGCCAAACCGCGCGGAAACCCCTCACAGCTCACACCAACATCAACAACAATGGCCGATTGTGCTCCAGCTTCCTCTGTACCTCTTCAGAAGACCAGATTCCCAGTAGGTAGCTGGTCTCTTCAGTGGACCACTGCTGCTTGTTAAGTTTCTCCATCGTTGTGTACAAACTGGATAAAACGCGGGCTTTTTGTTGTTGTTCAGGAGTTGATCCCGCCCCTGCCCCCGCCTCGACGTAAACGTGACGTATGTGGTGCTTTTGCTCTGGCTGGACAATTTTTTGGTGCTTGAAACGAACCGGATTCCGGAGCTAAGAGCTTATCTTATTTTACAGTCATTGTTTTTTGTGAACATACATTTAGCAATACAATAAAATAGTATGTGAACTTAACCTAAAATAGTCTTTGATAATATCGTTATTATAATATCTGTGTGTTAGTCATTCTTCCCATGTCTCCCACACTGGGCTCTGCAGCTCATCTGTCTTCTCCTCTATCACTTCAAAAGGTGTGTCCATGTCAGTGTATCATAATCTCACAGTGTCAACGATAGACACATTTCCCAAAACAGATGACAGCCTGTGTCATAATGTGAGGAACTATGATCCGAGCCAATGATTACCTCACAGCATGTGTTCAAAAGTTGCTTCATGTAATGATGTCTTGTTTTTGGTTTGACAATCGGCTAAATTGCATTATGGCTGCACAATACAGATCATCATAGGTCCATAGTTCTGGACCTGATCCGCACCGAACCAGTGGAGAATTCTTCCAGGAACCAACATACATAAATATATTGATACACAAATACACGGAGAATAGTACTCATCCAAAGAGGATGTATGGAATAGAATACAGTGCACTAAAATGCATGCCTTACAATCAATCATGGTAAATGTGAACATCATGGAAAAACTAAACATATGCTAGCTTCATTAACATTCCAATATGTTTATTAAAAACTGATGTGATAAGGGTGTGTGTTTGGGGGGAGGGGCCTGTCTTGGAAAGGGCCAAGTCAAGATCTCTACTGATATTGTGCTTGCAGACATTGATTTGTATTTTAGAATACTGTACACAATGCATGTGTAAAACCAAGTGTATTCATTTTGTATGTTCTGTTCTGAATTGGCAAATACACGTTTAATATTTTATTATTTTTTATTCATTTGGAAAAAGACATGAATGTTGACTTTATGAAGCTGTATTTATTCTGTAGTAAATGTAACATGGTCATATTCTATGAGGCCTATTGCGAGTAAGCATACTGCTGGTGATATAATGTGTCTCGGCCACAGGACTCCAGTATTCAACCACACTAACAGACATTGTTAGGCGGCTGTTTGCTGATCCAAATGTAAGCCTTTTAATGTTTGGTCGATACAATTCAATATATGTCTCAAAACAATGAATACATTCTTAACAATCCCTCACAGACTTTCCTACATGATCCCTGCTCTATAACAGTGTGACATAACAAAATACTGCTTTATTTGTGAAGTGATTCAGACAATTGTGCTTTGTTCTCCCTCAAGTTGCTCTTACAGCGACGACACTCCGCACTCCCTGATGCTGCTTTATGAGACATATTCACTTTTAGTAGTAGTTGTTGATCAGAGTTTGAAAGCTAGAGTGAATATTGAGAGATTTTTGAAGGATTCAAGAGTGTTGGCCTTTCGGATGTGACTGGGAAGGGAGTTCCAGAGGGAGGGGGGAGGCTGCTGCGAAGGTCCTGTTACCCCAGGTCCAGAGGGAGGGGGGGCTGCAGCAAAGGCCCTGCCCCCCCAGGTCCAGAGCTTTGTCCTGATGGGCTGTAGTAGGTTAGCTTCAGCAGACCTGAGGCGACGAGTGGGGGTGTATGGTTGGATGAGGTCACTGAGGTATTGATTGATTGAAAATTGTATTAACAGATTGCAGAATGGGTACAATACAGTACAGCTCAATACACACAATTGTTAAGGGGATGCAGACCAGAGAAAGACTTTTGTCTTGTTTACATCAGGGTCCCCCATTTTAATTCATCATAACATATATGACATACATGACATACAAATAGACAGTACTGTTACATCTAGACATTTATGACATACCAGATCTACAAATATACAGTACTGTTTGTGAGTACAAAAAGAGTCTAAGAAGAGAGTCTTATGGCGCGTTTCCACTGCAGGCCTCGCTCGGTTTGGTTAGGCCTTATTAGGCCCGGCTCACTTTAATGATGCGCTTCCATTACAGTTTAGGAACTGGGGTAGTTACTATAGTAACGCAGTGTAAGCGGAGCCGTGACGTCATCTTCAATGAGAGCCCCAGAAAAACAACACAGCCGTTAGCTCTTAGCACTCGGAGCTCACAGCTCTTCATATCTGTTCAGAAACTAGACAAAAGTTAAACAAATACAAACCACATACTGCCTGTGTCATGGCGAATACAGTCGCTGGTTTATTTATGTCTGTATAGGCTGTTGTTGTGAGTGTGGACGGTCGGAGCATATATAACGTTAGCTTAGCCAATCTCCATTTAGACAACACACATTTTAAAAGGTTTTTCGCCTGCCGTCTGTCTGCAGACTTGTCAAAGCATTAATTCATGGTTTTCACTATCCGGTATCAGTATGTTGTTACTTCGGCATCATTTTGAAACGTGTATTACAATTAAATCACGGTCAAATATGTTCATCTTGTTGTAGTTGTAGCCCCCTTGCCAGCGATTCTCTCTCTAGTTTAGCATACTCAGCCCGACTCAGCCTGGTTGTTCCTGGCCCTAGAGCCACGATTTTATGGGGCCAGAAAAACTGTGAATTAGGACCCGCTAGCCGGTACTAGGCCAAGTGGAAACGCAACCAAAAACGGGCCTCGCACGGCTCGGCACGCTTAAAGCGAGCTACCCGCTGCAGTGGAAACGCGCCATAAAAAGAGAGTATATACATTGGGGGGGGGGTTGGGAAACTGTATATTGTAGGAGGTTAGGTTTGGACATTTACAGGGGCCAGTTTCGAATTGCAGTCTCCCGTAGGTGCTCTTTTAGAGAGGTTTTGAAGGTGGGTAGTGATTCACATTCCTTTACAGCTGTGGGTAGGGCGTTCCACATTGTTGTGGCATAATTACGAAGCGTGTTTCGTCCCTTGTTTGAGCCAAATCTGGGTTTAACATGATTTGTGGAGCTCCCTCTGGTGTTGTGGTCGTGGTATTCACTGACCTTTGGGAAGTATTTTGACATGTACATGGGTACCTTAGTGGTGTAGTGTATCTTGTAGACCAGGCCCATTGCAAGTTGCTGTACTCTGTCGTCTACTCTAAGCCATCCTAGGTTGTCAAAGTGGGCAGGGGTGAGGTGGGTTCTAGTAGTAAGGTCAAGCAGTAGTCTGACCAGTTTATTTTGTGATGTTTGTAATTTTGTTTTTACCGCCTTTGAGGTGCTTTGGTACCATGAGGTGCAAGCATAGTCGTAGTACTCTTGAATGAGTGCTCCTGCCAGACTCTTCAGGGTATTCTTGTTTACCAGAGAGGAGATCCGGTACAAGGATCTAGTTCGTTGGTTGACTTTTTTGATTACATTGGATGCCATTTTGTCACAGGAGAGATTTGCCTCTAGTATGGAACCTAGGTATGTCATTTCATCTTTCCTTGTGACAATATTGTCACCCACTGTAACTGAGAAGCCGTCGGTCTTGCTGAGTTTGTTTTTTGAACTGAAGAGAATGGACTCTGTTTTACCCAAGTGTAATGATAGTTTGTTATCGGCGAACCAGGTGCAGATTCTGCCGAGTTCCGAGCTGAGGGTTTTTTCAACCTGCAACTTGCTCCTGTCAGAGACAGGAACAAGTTGCAGTCACAAGCTGACGACATGTCATTTGCATAAATTAGGAACAGTAACGGTCCTAGTATGCTTCCTTGTGGAACACCACAGCTCACTGGGAGGGGGGGGGGGACAGAGTACCGTTCACCTCCACCATCTGTTCTCTCCCCTCCAGGTAGGACTGCATCCAGCTCACCGATAGACTGTCAAAACCAATTGCTTTAAGCTTGTCAATCAGAATGGAGTGATTGACAGTGTCAAAGGCCTTTTGTAGGTCCAGCATGACTGTTATGTGTTTGTGCCCTGATCAGGCGCTCCTAGTGTGATGTGTCATGTCTAGCTGTAGTTTCCTGTTATGGTTTTGTAGTCCTTATCGTTTCCCCTCCAGGTGTAACCATTTGTAATTAACCCAGGTGTGTCTTGTCTCGTCATTACCTCATGTATAAGTATTCTGCCTTCCCCTTTGTCTGGTGCTGATCCTGTCTGTGCAGTATGTGTTCTTGTCTGTCATTACTTTATATTTCCTTTGTTCAACCATGGTGGTAATTATTAATTAAATTATTTTTTTGATTACTTCGGCTACCGTCTCCTTTATTATGTTGCCTTGACTCGACATTGAGCCTGCTAACAGTTAATGGTAACGTAATATGGGGGCTCGTGCCAAACTGATTTTAGCAGGAATTTAGTGGTGGCCGCTGAGCTTCGTCCACGCTTTGAATTATGGTTGACAGTGTCGTGTGTGTGGCCCATGTTTTATACCCTCTTGGTAAATAATTCTCCAATAAGGAGCGTTTTCATCCAGCTAGGGCAGCTGGACCATTTTCTATGGTTCCTTCCTTCGCCTGGTAGACATACCGTCTATGC